AAAACATTTGGAGTGTTTAGCTGATAATGCCCTTAATCTTAGCAAATACCCTAAATACTCTCTGAGATTATATTTTCAGGAAACAATTTAGAAAAAATGTCATGCAATGTAGTAAGGCAGTTGTCAAATTGGTATTACAAAATTAGCCACATATATCTATATTTTTATTTGTAGTTTTCTTTACAAGTTCTACAGATACATTAAATTTTACTATGGATTTAATAGTATTATTGTTGATATGTATTTTTCTCAAATTTTACAGAGTTATCATGAGTAAAAATTAAAGATAACAAAAAATGCATAATCACTTGAGACTACTCCAAAACTAGTCATACGGACATGGAGGAATAGACATAGCTTTCTACACCTCCACAAGTTATTGTGTGATAGAGTTTGAGTTGAAATTCTCAGATCCAATAGTGCGAGCATTTAAATATCATCTTTATACAATTAACAAATAAACTGTTTATGGTGATTTTTGTCAGAGCTTATGGAAGCTACAATGAGTCATTCATTTATTCAGGAATTTTTGTATTAAATTGTAATTAAATGGCTACTGAATATATTCATATTATAGGAAGTATGAATGCAAAAATGAATTAGGCACAGCTCCAACATGCAGAAGATGTCACTGTGAATGGGAAACAAGCAGACTAAAAATTATAAAACAGTGTGGAAAGTGCAGGCAAGAACTAACACAATGTAAATTCTGTAAATTGCTATAATCAATGATATATCAAGAAAGGGGATGAAAACTGTTTAATCATTTTTGAGACACTGGGACAGAAAGAAGTGACATTAATTCTTCAACTGTGATTTATAGTTATTTTTTCATTCAATGTTTGTGAAGGAGCTACATAGCCTTTCATGTTAGGAAGCTGCAGTAGCAATTGAGAAGTCCCAGGAGAGTAAGGGTTGCACATTAAGGGTAGTGTAGAGTTGCTGAGAAAGGATGGAAGATGGTGCTTGAAATCACTGTGGGATGCTTAATGTGATTTTTCTATGGTCTTGATTACTATAATTTGAATTCAAAGACAGTAAATGAAAATGAAGTTTTAAAAAACAGAAAAATAAAAAAGAATAAAGATGGTTAAAGAGACATCCATGAGACAATTTAGTTTTATACTCTTTGAAATAACAAATTAACAAAAAATGTATTAATATTATTTTCTCAGAGATGAGTTCATTTGAAAACCACTATAGCACAAAGCGGTTGGAAAGCACAAGCTATTTGCAGACATTGAGTGTTTTATGTCTTCTATGGGGAACTTTAATGCTGTCCTCTGTGTTCTCTGCACAAAGACAAGTAACTTCATCAGAGTTTTGGGGAGCACGTTGGGGACCTAGAAACTTTAAATCTGGGGCAAAATTAGATTTTTTTTATCAAATCAATTCTGTCATAGTGGAAGGAAATGTGGTGGGGACAAGATTGCTTCTTTTCTCACAAATTGTTAAGATTGCATTTGGGTCAAGTTTGCTATTCCAAAATATTTAACTTCTTTTACCCAGAGGCTATAATTTAAAGCATCAACTTTTGGAACTAAATTGTTTGCATCAGGTTCATTAATTTACAATCTTCTTCATGAGGCAGAGCTCCATTTCAAAACATTAACAATGCAATCACACAGGAAATTTCTTAGAAAAAACCCACTATGAAGCAGTATGCTTGCAATATTTGACTAAGTATATTTAAAAAACAATATTTTCTTATACATAAGCAGGAAGTTGAAATTAACCCTCCCAACATGACTTCAGACCATGCTATGAGATTATTGCTCTTACCCTCGATCATTTCTAAGAGAATTTGTTAGTACAAGCAATTGAGTTTCACTTTATATTTTCTGAGACTAGCAACCCTCCATCCACAAAGAATCTCTTGGCTTTTCTATAAAGTTTTCTACTATAGCACTAATTACTTAAGGAGAATGGTAAGCAGGATCAGAAATGAGCATGCATTACTACAGTTTTGTGCTCCTTGAAGAATTGTCAAAATTAATTCATGGCATTAAATTCCACATACCCACATTAGAATAGTGCATTATAATTATCACTCAGCTATGATGTGTACAGCTTTATGTCTGCCTCTCATTGATCATTAATATTTTATTTTAAATAACTAATATCATTAATGGACACAATATAAAATAGCTAATACCTGGACATTTCAGAAATGCCATGTAACTATACAAATGATATTAAGATACATGGATGATGTAGCCATTTGGCATATATTTGGATTTATAGTTACAATTAAGATTGTATCACCAGAAGAAAATTTCAAATAAAATATCATATTTTTAAGTCTGTTCTTCCTAGTTATACATAAAGGAATATCATTATGTGTCATGAGTAAAGAGGGGAAATATTTTCCATTTCTCATAATTTTTTGACTTAGAATGAAAAACCATTTTGCAGTTGCGAGTGAAATGTAAAGTCCACATTTGCCAATGAACTCATTAAGCATAATTAGTATCAAATCTTCTGCCATAGTACAAAGCTTCTTGAAGAAGGGAAAGACTCTTTACTTTCATTAGCTTTAATATTCAAAGATAAATATAAATCTATTCAACTACATAATGCTGTATTCTCTAGTTCCTATGAATACATGTATATATATATACATATGAATATATTGGAATTCAGAGAAATACAGTGTTTTGTAGCAATTTTTAATTAATTTTATCTATTTACTCATTTATTTTTTATTACTGTTTTTTCAGATAGGTTTTCTCTGTGTAGTAGTCCTGGTTATCCTGGAAACTCACATTGTTAACCAGGCTGTCCTCAAACTCACTGAGATTCACATGGCCTCTACCTCCCAAGTGCTGGGATTAAACATATGCACAACCACCACTAGTCCTGTTTGCAGTTTTCCCTCCCTCCTAAAACTGATGCCAGAGAAACTCCCAGAAATCTAGAAGAATGAACCCAACTAAGACTCGTAGCAATAGTAGAGATGGTGCCTGAATTTCCCATCTCCTGTAATCAAATAATGAATACCCTAATTATAATCAGAGAGCTCCCATGCAGTAACTGATGAAAGCAGATGCAGAGATCCACAGTCAAGAACTGAGCATAGCTCAGTGGGACTAAATGAGCCAGAGGTGTCAATTTTCTTGACAGGGAAATGGACAGAGAGATTAGAGAGATAGCTGATCCTAGCTTGTGGGTGCTCAAGAATTTTGGATCAACAGCTAGGGAGCCTGCATGGGAGCTACCTAAGTCCTCTGCATGTGTGTGACAGTTGTATAACTTAGCAGTATGAACAAGAACTGTCCCTGGTGCTTGAGCTGCTTTTGGGAACCTATCCTCCAGTGTTGGTTGCCTTGCCCAGGCTTGATGCAGGGGAGGAGCTTGGTCTTGCCTCAACTTGATGTGTCATGCTTTGTTGACATGCATGGGTGGCCTGCTGCTTTCTGAATGTAGGAATTTTTAGATAAATAGATCCTCAGGTTTGGGGATTCAGTAGGTATTATTGTTGAATTACACTCATTATAATATGTATTAGGAAGAGAATCAGAGTCCCAAAATAACTCCTTTAATTTAAATCACAAAGCCCTCCTCCAGCTGCTGAAAAAAAATTGTTAATTGTAAAAGCTAAGCAGGAGGAAACCATACCTAAAAGTGATAATGCCTTCAAATGGAAAATGTCTTAACTCAAAGTTAGCTCAGACAAAACTCCCACAGATTGTGGCTTGCTGTAGATATTTAATGCTCCATGTCTAGAATCCAGGAAATTCAAGGTCTGCCTTCTGTTTCTTTGGCCTGGAGAAAAAGTAGTCCTGATCCCAGTGGTAATCCCTTCATGGAATTTCAGCTCCCAGTGATCTAATCTACATGTTCTCTCACAGGCTCTACCTGTCACTAGGGATTAGGAGTACACCATATATATTTTTTTGTGGATACAAACATTATATCAAGATAGTATGTCTAACTATACTAATTTGATTGAGGTTACCGTTTTAATTAGTGTGCAAACTATCCAGTCTTTCAAAAATAGTTTCAAAATCATGAAATAATATTTCATTATTCTTCTGAAATAGTTACATGTGAAAATTGAATGTCCCACATCATTAAACACATGGTAAAACTCACTGGTTGATATTTGTGTTAATAAGATTCATAAAACTTGATTTTTCAAATGTATGAAAGTTAGGATTTTAAAAAGTGCCAATGAATTTATTCATTTAAAATTTAAAGAAACTTTAGACATTATCTCAATGTAAAAATATTCACACACTGATATTTTTTACATGTAACCCCTAGTGAGAATGTATATTATGTATAATTTTTTAATTAAAATAGTGAATGGCAAAAAGCAAGTTATATTCTATCATCATAATAACCCAAACAAAATGATTCCTGGGACAAAATACTCACATACAGTCATCCACATCTTCCCTAATAATCCCTACCTATGAGAAAATAATTTTATTTATGTAGTTTCTGATGAACAACATATTGAAAAATGTAAATAGAAAGGTCAGATGAGACTGAAAATGAAGAAAAGTTCAATTATACAATAAGTAAATGGTTTTAAAATACTACAAAACCATAGAAAATTAACAAGCAATTTTAGAAATTAAGCTGGTATAAAAATACAGTTAAACATACTTTAAAACTTTTAGTGTTTAATTTAATTTGAAATGGTGCAGAAATAAACCCATGTAATGAAACTCTAAGATCATGATTTCTCAGTCAGCAGATTTTTGGTAGCAAAAGTACTATTTTACCAACATCAGATTAAAATGATTTATAACAATGTCATATAATAGCTTGCTTTTATTGATGATTGAATCCAGAGCCTTTCAGATGGGGAACATGCACCATTGAACTATAGTCCAACTCAAGTAGTTACTTATAATGAGACATCTAAAGGAATAATGTAGGAAAAGTTCTGAAGGGAGAACCACAACTTTGGGATAATGATTAGGCATTGTTGCGTTAGCTATATAATTAAAAGTATGTATAAACTACAATAAGGCTAATGATTTTGGACATTTAAAATGAATGGGCTACCAGCAAAAACCAAAAAAAAAATTTATCTGTCTGTAATCATCATTATTTATTGTCAACTTGACAGAAGATAAATTCACCTTGGAGTCAGGCATTTGGGTATGTTGAGGGGTATTTTCTTGGAGACAACCACAATACTATGATCAGGAACATATACTAGGTAGGATGATAGAATATATTAGAGCGGGTTAATCATCAACATAGTGTAAGCTGAAATAAACGCTTCATTTATTAACTTTGCTTTGATCTGAGTATTTTATTGGTAACAAGAGAAGAAAATAATATGCTATCTTTATTTTGAAGGACCCTATGTTGTACTGGGATTGTGATTGAGGACAGAGAAAAGCAAGAGGATTCAGCAGATAATTCAAAGCTCTTCTGTTGCTTCAGGTTTGGAATTTGATAGAATTGGTTATTAACAATGAAAAACTTAACAATATTTTCCAATATTTACGCTGTCAAAGAATGAAGAAATTCATTTTTGAATAAGGTTATAAAAAGGATGTTCTTATTTGTAAATTGTCATTGATACTACTAAGACTGCTCATGAGATCACAGTAACAAGACCTCACTTTATAGTACTGGTTGCTTTACTGAATGAATTGTAAGTAGGGGAAAGTAATAAAGAAACATATGGTAAGTTCAATAGATGTACCTTCCAAGTTTTTTAATAATAATAGCCAACTATACTGAACTCTCAGACAAGCTTAAATGAATCTGGATGAACTATTAATACTGATTAATTTAAGTATGATCCAGATCTCTTTCTTTCTGTTCATTTTTTAATCCCAGATGTGGAAGAGTCCTCCAGATTTATGGCAAATGATAAGTCCCACTGAAACTAAGAAATAGATTTGCATGTTTATAGAACTTTAAATAGATCTACCACAGAATGTAAAAAAAAAGTTGTTCTTCAAGACATTAGTGGTTTCTTTCTACAATTGCTTGTCCCTGAGGGTTGTAAGGGCTCCCTGTAGTATGTTTGATGTGCCATGTATTGAAACATTCTGCAATGGAATTATTGGCAATGCAACGGCCATTATCAGTCTTAACCTGTGTGCGTGATCCTAGGGTTGTGAAACACTAGAGGAAGTGGACTTTTCCCCATATATTCAGTGGCCAAACAGGCCCCTGAATAAATGTCTATGGAGACAAAAACATACTTCTGTTTGCCAAAAGATGGAAAATGAATAACATTGGTTTGCCAGAGGATATTGGGTGGTAGGCCTCTAGGGTTAACTCCTGGCATCTGTAGAAGGAAAACTCTTAGATATGGTTGACATGATTTTCCTGTGTGAACTATCTGTTTTAGTTCTTTTATAGGAAACTTTGAGAATCTATTATGTAGTTCCCTGCAATTGGCATGGGTCATATCATGCAATTGGGTGGCTTCCTGTTGGGTTAGTGCCTCTTGGGCTGTCACCAGTCTATCTGCCCATGAAGTGATCTTCATCAGGAACCCTGGGAGACTGGAGAGTCCTCAAAGGGGTTGAAGGTAAATTGGTGCCTATTTTCACTCTAAAAGAGCCTTAAGAGCCACCATGAGGGGGAATATGGGGTTATTATCTAACCAGATGTATGATTGTGGGAAATGGGTATGTAAGTTAACCACATAAAGACAGTCTGAAGAAAGATTGCAGGGCTTGAAGATGTCCTGTAATACCAGCATCACTGCCAGCATTTCCATATATTGAGCACAACAGTGGCAGGGTTGAAATCTTTGGTGACTAGATGTTTCTTCGTATCCTCCAAAGGCAACGTAGGCAGAGCCTGCTTGGTCCCCATCAGTGAAGATGCAAATGGCTTCTGGGATGGGCTCAGATGGAACCAAGGAGGGCATGTTGAGGGGGAAACTTTGTAAAACAGGAGAAAATTTTGATGGGCTATAGTGGCAACCAATACTTTCCATAAAGCATTCTAAGGTGAGAGCAAGGCAAGTGTTAGCCTGATCAAGCCATTCAACATCTGCCACCCGGAAGGGTCAGACAATGGTATGGGGGTCTAGCCCATAGTGTTGCTGGACCTGGGTCCTGCCCTTTATGATGGCATCAGTGAGCTGATCTGCCTGAGAATACACCTGGGGAGTTCCTCCCAAAGACAAATAGATCTATTCCAAATGTTTCCCCTCCTGGGTTAGAACTGCTATAATCAGGGAGACTCCAGCAAACAACCAGAGGGACAAGGGCCTCATCACTGAATACCTCCTTAGAGAGCATTTGTCCACGTCCTTCTGAAAGACAAAGAATATCTCGAAGTATTCCTTTGTCATAATTTTATCATGATGTGTCTTTCCTTTACCAGGGATTGAGACCTAGGATCTTGGCCAATTAGTCTCCCCCAGTAAGTGCTGGAGCTGGGATAGAGTCATAGATTCAGGCACCTCCAGAACAGGCTTAAGCAGCCTAGCCTATATCAGCATGTGGGAAGACCTAAGTACTTTGAAGGGGGACACCTTTTGAACCTTTTCTGGGGCCACAGTAAAGCCCCCTTTTTAAGCAATCGGAGAATCTGGGCCACAAAGCCCTCCAGATATGCTGATCCCGATGTCCCAAAATTAAATAATATATATAAGCATATATTACTGAATCCTTTGACTTTACCATAGACCTTAAGAAAGTAGCAAGATACTGTTTAAGGAAAGCTGGGCTATTACACATTCCTTGTGGTAGCACTACCCATTCAAAACACATGTTCAAAATGAAGGAACAGAGAAGGCAAATTTATCACAGTCCTCTGGATGTAGTGGTATAGAAAATAAGCAATCCTTAATATCAAGTACCACAAATAGTAGGTGTCCAGGGCATGCCCCTTAAGGCGTACCCATTAGTTACCTCCTCTCATTTATCTTGTACAAATCTTGGAGCATGTACCAAGCCCTGGACACCTTTTGAATTACAAACACCAGGGTGTTCCATGGGTTCATAGAAGGGAAGATACATGAGAGCCTTAATTGTTCATCTGCTAGCAACTTAGGTTTAGTCATTGGCCACTGCTCCATCCATACAGGTTTTGCTAGTGCCCATCTGATAGATGGCTCTTGGGGGAGAGTAGCCCTTATGATTGTGGGTATACCTGAATAAGTCTCTCAGGCTCCCCCCTGTAGTGGTGGAGGTTGAAAAAATCCTTCTCTGTGACCCCCTTTAGATCCTTACCCACCCTTTGTGCCTCATCCTCTTCAAAGATATCCTCATAAAAAGCCCTATGATCTGTGATTACATCAGTGTCCATTTGAACTACCATGTCCTATCCCAGCAAATTGGCAGTAAGGCCTTTGATCACTAAGGGACGCACTTTTCCTTCATCCCCATCTAGGCTGGTCCAGAACATTAAGGTCACTGTTTCTCTTGATTAGGAGTTACCTTCAGCCAAAACTGGGGACCGAGGAGCAAGCTCCCAGGTGGAAGGCACTTCCTCCTCCCAGAACACTGTCCTGTCTGCTCTGTGTCTGTCAAGCAGTGAAACTTCTTACTGCGTATAGAACTGGTCATTTTGGGGCAATGTCTTTCAATCAAATGGAAAGTCCAGTGGTCTTGTGTTATCTGGGTATGAGACCTTCCAATCCTACCTTTAGAGGTACTTCCTCCCTTTTTAACTAGGCTGGAAGAGCCCTCCTCTCATTTACAGGCTTCCCCTCCAGGTCAATTTTTGATCTACAGTCCTTCTTCCAATGGTATCCCTACCTGCATCAAGGTCATGGGGTAGAGGGGTGCTTAGCCCCTCCTGGCTTATTAGCAGGGTTTCTGTTGAGAACGTCTCTTTTAAAATGTCCCTCCTGCCCACATCTAAGTCATGCCCCTTTTCCCAGCGGCCTCAAGGACCCTTGATCCTGGGTTGCCAGGACATGAGTGATGGTATGTGTCATGACAGTCATCTGTACCTGTAAGGCCAGGACCAGAGACTGGTATTGATGTTTCTGGATACTTACATCTTAGGAGGCTACCACCCCTCTGATCACAGAAATGTCCTTTAATCCCATGCAGCCCATTATATGGTCCATATTCATCCCTTCCCATACCAGCTGTTCGATAAATTGTTCTCTGAGGTCACTGTGTAGCATCTTGTGCAGACCTGGTCTATAAACTCTGGCAAGGGCTCTCTACACTTCTGCCTTACCCCAGGCATGGGGATGTCAGGAGTCCCATTATCCAGTTTAGCCCAGGAATTCAACCCAACCTGACTTACCTGATCCTGATATGTCCCAGAGACCCCTACTTGCTGGACCCCAGTTGAGTAACCATCTGTCGTTACTGACAGCATAGCGTAGGTAATAGCGATACCAGGGTTGGTTTGCCTATTTGCCTCAGCTCGTACCCTACATTCCTCTTTATAAAAGGCACAGTATTTGATAAACTGAGAACCAGACAGCCCTTGAGATGCATAGATGCTAGGTGATATCCTGCAACAGGGTTTGTGCCCAAGGAGAAATAGGGATATCTTCCACCACAGCCTTGCAGAACTCTTCAAACTCCTTGACATCCCAAGGATACCAGTCTAGAGGCCTGCAGGGCTCAGGATCCAAAATTACTGGGTAGGCTTGGGGGACACTAGTTGCATCCTCCCATCCCTTCTTGATTGTTCAGGCCTCCACATAAATGGAGCCCCCAAGTCTTGACTTACTGTTGTCTGGTATATCATAGGAGTCCAGGTCCTGTGGATTTTCCCTAAGGGTGGTATAGAAGAACATAAACCCCTCATTCCCAGGAGCATAAGGTGGGGGTCTGGACTTATCTGAGGCAGATGGTTTGGTCCATTCCTCCTCTGCCTCATCTTTGGCGAATTTGTCTAGCCCCCCATTCTTCCTTCTTACTGAAAATAGAGTTACCCATGCTAAGGATCTGACTTACCCTGAGAGACTGCTTAGCCTTGGCTGAGATGTAGGCCTTTCAGGTCCCATGTTGAGAGTAACAGATTCTGGGTCTTAGCCCAACCATGGAAGGCTGAGCAGGGTTCAATGAAGGGTAAATGCTCTGGTTGCCTGTTCCCCAGTCTCCAGGGATACTGGAAAGGGTTACAGGAGATAATCAGATGCAGCAGGGAATCTAGTCAAGCAGGAACTCATTTATTGTCCCACAGCAAACATCTTCTAAATAAAAAAAAACACAGAGCAGGAAAACAGCCAGTCAATGGTTTTAAAAGTCAGCCTATCATGCACCTAGGCGCCCTATGCATTACCTAGTGAACACAGCGGTTCATGCAGTGACCTTATCAGGTTTGATCTTGGCAGCCAACCACCCTTTTAGTAAACACCACAGGACTTGTCCTCCTGACTTCCCCTCAGCAACATCTTTTTTTTTCCTTTTTTTGGTTTTTTGAGACAGGGTTTCTCTGTATTGTTTTGGAGGCTGTCCTGGAACTAGATCTTGCAGACCAGGCTGGTCTCAAATTCACATAGATCTGCCTGCCTCTGCCTCTGCCTCCCGAGTGCTGGGATTAAAGGCTTGAACCACCCACACCCGGCTCCCACAACAACATCTTTAACTGGTTAGTGTGCACTTCATTGCTGGAGAAGCCACTGAGCATGAAAGGAAGATAAATTTCTTTCTCTTGATCTATCATCCAATAAAAAAGCCAGGTATGGTGCCAGAAAAGAGAGAAAACATCCATAATTATTTTTAAGACAGTTTGACTGTTTAAGAACTAGCAGTTATGAATAGGTAGAGAACTAAGAAGCAGTGCCTTTCATATTTGTCAGAGTTTATAGTTAAGTGTCCAGGGATCTTAGCTCAAAGTTCTGGTCTACATATTGTTAATATTCTCTTCCTTCTCTTCTTGACTCTTTCTAATGCTTTCGGTCTAATTTTACCCATGCTACTGAGTGTTTCTCAAACGTGATACTATCTAATGAGACTTTTGCAATTGTACTTTTCTGCCCTTATGGAGTCACTTGTTATAATTTTCCTTGCTATATGGATTCTGTGAATGCACACTACTTTTATAATTTTTTAAATTTTACCAGCCCAAGATTCTTTTCAATTTTTATCAAATAACATGCTAAGAGTAAATTGGTTGCTTTATATTGATTCTGTTAAATCAATTGAGTTAGAATTAAGTGATAGGGCATTTCATAACCATTTAGTTGAATGTTTTAACTATGACCTCGTGTGTATTAGGCTCTAGATGATATTTTTAGTTCCCTTGAGTCTGAGGAGGAAAGCAGAGATACTACTCATACAGCAAGACCATAAAAAGTCAGTGTTTACAATGATGGAGATAAGCATACATTTAATTTTGCATTTTGTTACAATATTAATCATCTTAGTCTGAGATGACACTGATTTTTTAAAAAATATATGAAAATACATGTAGTCACTCTGTGGCTAAAACTGTTTATAATGTCTTATGAAAATAAGTTGGCTTTGGATTCACATCTCAAAAAAGAAGTCAGTTTCAAAACCAAAATTCTTGTTCTCTAGGTATTAGAAAACATTTTTTGTTTTGTTTCATAGAAATTTGAATGCTTAGAAAATACACTTTGAAGATATACTTTGAAAATACAGTTCGAATTATTTGAGAACTATTGATTTATAAATACAACTTTTAACACCAATAAGTTATAAGGACATAAACAGAAATCTATTTCATTTCTAAAAGAAAAAGAAAACCACATAAACTGACTGGGGAATGATTAAAATTCATTTTCATGTTCTTGACTTCAGTATCATAAGTAACAAGAGAACCTAAGTAATAGGAAAAAGAATCTCAACTGCCTGTCAGCAAAAGCAATTAGTTAAGTTCAGTTCAAGATACCAGTGCAACTTGTGTGAAATCCTAAAGTATCAAGAATATAAGCAACTCTGGTGATTTAATTTTATTTAGAAAAGGATGCTTGCAGCTTTCTCCTTTAATTAGCATTTTATACTGGGGCAAGTCCAGGCCATAATGGTTAATGTTGTGTTTGACTCTTTGAGGTCAAATACAACATGAAGAAAGTGCTAGAATTGCAGTCACTATAAATAGGCCCAAGGGAAGAAGTTTCTGTTCTCAATCACTCTCACCTTATTTGAAACATGTTGTGATACATGACATAAGCCATAGACATTCTCAGGAACAACGTGAGCCCTTTAAACCTCAAACTGCTCCCTCACACATTAGCTATGAGTTCTGTTATTATCTTTTTAAAGCTGAAAAGCCAACTATAACTCATAGTGTATCTTACATAGCAACTTTGTTCTCAAACATGGTTGACTGTAAACAAAAGGGATCCTGGCTATTTTGAGTAAACTTGGGTTTAATTCGAGGTTCTCAGGGGAACTAAAAAATTAAGTAGAAATTTTAATAACCAGCACCAAAAAGGACAAGAAGCAGAACTTTAAGTATCTTAGTAACTAAGAATAACCAAAGCACGCTTCTTCATAGCTCTCTAAGGTCTTATGCAATATAAGGGGAAAGAAAGAAATTGTTTAGGGTGTGTGTGTGTGTGTGTGTGTGTGTGTGTGTTTCCCTAAAAGAAGGTGAATGTATACTACATAACAGAAAAGCAATAAGTATGAAAGTTATATTGGAATTCACAGGAAAATTTTTCAATCATTTCAAATTAACATAGGCGGTCATAGACAATGCCTATAGAACAAATTCTGGATTCATTGTGGTTTCAATGTGGAATATACAATATGGGCTGATGTGTTTGAAGACTTGGTCCTCAGCATGCAGCACTCTTTTTTTCTTTTAAAAAATTATTTTATTTTTTGAGATTATAATATATTTATATAATTTCACCTTCTCATTCCTCCCTTTAAAGTCTCTCATACACAAGGTATGGTACTGTTTGGGACCTTTAGAAGGGAGAGACTCATGGAGGAACAGGACCACTGTGAGCGGGCTTTGAGTTTTTATATCCTGACCTCACATACAATCCACTCTCTGCTTCCTGACTGTAGACACAATGATCAGGTACCACCTCCTATTGCCACCATGCATTCTCCATCATGATGGTCTGAAATACCTCCTTACCTGTAAGCAAAAATAAACTTTTCTTCTTTAAAGACTATCTTATCTAGTATTTTCTCATATCAATAAGACAGACGACTAACCCATTGTACAAGCTGCAAAATGTATGGTGAATGAGATGTCAGCACAGCATTAGGTGTCATAATTCCAGACTGATTAAAAAGGCTTGTTAGTTTTGCTGTTGATTTCAGGTATCTTCTAGGTTAACTTGATAAGCTTTTCTTTTACTTATGATTAATTTATCAATAAAAACTAATTAAAATTTCATAATTAATTTTATGAATCTTATTATCAAAAAGCACAAATAAAATTCCAAAAATTTAAGAGAAAATATTGAGAAACTTACTAAGAGACCACGGGGAGTGCCTTTCAAAACAGGGGATATAGTCATCTAGGTATACAGAGTTAAAGAGAATTATGAAAGAGGATGCAATAAATTGGAGTGGGATGGGGAAAACAGATTATAAGATGAAACCTGGAAGGGATATACAGCACTAAAGACTTTTTAAATAAGTCACATGTAAAGTTATTACTGTAGTACCATCCTAAAATATATCTATCTATTCACATACATAAGAAGAGTCAAAATAGAACTATCTGGTAACAAGACTTCAGTGTGCATACTAGACTCCAGAAGCTAACAAAAAAAAAAGTTCAGAGCTAGACCTGTGCTTTGGAATTGTTGGTCAGTGAGGTCCTTTAGAACCATAAACATAACTGGCTATTGACAATGTTCTTAGCCACCCTGAGAACTTCAAAATAAGACCTTTTTGCTGAAAATATCAAATAATTGAGTCATAGACTATGGCAAAATCAAAGTGGCAGATCCTGAAAGCTTTGTCACTTCTGGCTAGTTTTCATAGTACTGAAAAGTTCTATGTATGCTATAGGAGGAGAAAATAATTGCCAAACTTTACCAAGTGTGAAGCTGTTGAGCTACAATAACAACTGACTAGCTTGAATTAGACACACACACACACACACACCCTCACACACACACATTTGTGTAATAGTGACATAAATTTTCAGCTTAATAACCAACCACTTTCTTATTATATTTAACTCCTATTATTGGAACAAAGAACCTATGGCTAAAGTGTATCATAACCCTAGAAAGAACCTACTATTATTATTCTGCTAAATGGACATAGAATTGTACTCTTATACTCTTATAATAAGGCTTTGGCAAATTTTTTATTTCTTACTTATTTAAATTAGAAACAAGCTTGTTTCACATGTCAATCCCAGATACCTCTTCCTTCCCTTCTCTCCCAAGTCCCCACCCAGTCCCTACTTCACTCCCCAGGGAGAGTGAGGCCCTTCATGGGGGATTACTTGGGTAGTAGATCAGTATTTATCCCTGGCATACAACTAGCCTTTGGGAATCCATTCCACATATAGAGAGGTTCTGACAATTTTTATCAGAGACAATTCTATTTTCAGAGATCTGCAGCTTCCAGCTAGCAATTATTGGTACTAGGAAAGTTTTGGTACCAGGGTCAGTTTTTCTAAAAAAAGTTGCTCCTGATAAGTGACCCATAGTCCAGTTGAAGACCTGATATCCTAGAATATTTAAGTAAATTTTCCTTGATGGGAAGGGAAGACTGTGGATCTGGGAGCAATTTTGTGGGGGGAGTTAATATGATCAAAACATAATGAACAAATTTTTCAAAGAATCTATAAAATTATATAATATATAAAGTTAATATATTTTTTAAATAAAATTAAGTCATCAGGGTTGGTACTCTCTGTCGAGTTCCCAATACTATCTAACATAATGTCCATTACAGGTATGAGAAACCTCTTTTTGAATTGTTGGTGGGTGTGTTCAAAGAGAATTCTAATATAATGGAGACTATCGTCATTGCCCTTGCATGATATGCAATGATGGCTAAGAGAGATAAGAGAATCAGTTTTCTCCAGAGATTAAACTCCCTGATGGGTTATTTGACCCCAAGCAGTCAACTCTAAACAGATAGTCACAGAAGCAACATTAAAAGGGCTCAGATACACTCAGATACTGTGTGTGTATGTGTGTGTGTGTGTGTGTGTGTGTGTGTGTGTGTGTGTATGTGATCTGTGTATGTGGCAATAATTAAAGAAAAATCATGAACTTGGGGGGCTGTGCATAGGAGG